CCAATTCCAGGGAAACACATATTTCCGTTCTCACGGAATCCGAGGACGCTTCATCAACACTTTGTGTCTTCCTAATGGGAAAGCCTAGTCTGTAGAAGATTCTCTGTTTATAATCCATAGCAGTAAGACCTTATTGTAAACTTCCTGATTAAAATCGTTTTTTAAAAAAGACTATTTTCAAAACGAAATATATAACTTGCTACAACTGAAATAAAATTAGTTGCTTCTTGTGCCAAAGTAAAAAGTCAAAAAAGGCAAAGCTGATGAACTCGGCGGTTGCTCATAAAACCCATCGTAGGTATCATTCTCCTGAAATTTCAAACAATCTTCTAAATAAAAGTTTTATCATTGGCGCAGTCGGTACGATGTATTGTGCAAATGCAATAAACAATACACTATGGCTGTAGAAATCTGGTTAAAGAAGTTTTTTAATTTTATGGGGTTCAATATAAAATAATATAATGTGTTTATCTGCTTTTGGTTGAGGCAATGGAAAAGCCATTTACGGTAAAACAAAAACGTTTGAATTGGGGTAAATATAAAATATGCTGGGCAACGGAACTGCGGAGTAGAGTTATTCTTAGTAAGGAATCAAAATTTGACGAATGCTTAGGTTTTTTTTCGGAAAAAAGTTAACAAAATCAGAGGTACTTATTTAGAAAGACTACATATAAGAGAGGATTTATATATCCATAATCACTACATCAGCAGGAAGCCAAGGATGTTTTAGGATACCTACCACTACCTAGATACCATTAGATAAGTCAGCACATTCATGCGCCTATTTTTTGCGGCGGTTATAAAATAGTTTTAGAATTCATTCTTTGTACACAACCAATGTGTGGAAGAAGAAAAATAACAGTTTTGTCATTAGGTCTTGAATAAATTAAATTTTTTGTAGTTCACGATCCATTCAGACTTACTAAGAGCAGAGACGTGTTATTGCAAATCCATTATGATTTCGATCGACCTCCTGACAATGTTTCTCAACTCATTAATTATTTCAGAGACGATTTGCATCATCTCAGTTGCATTTTTCTAAATATTGCATAAACATTTGATACAAAGTTCCTATTTCATACAGGGCTCAACGTACATTTCTTGAATGTGTTTATATCCAAACATCACATCAGAAAATGAAAAACAAATTTCCATACGATTATGGCATAGCCTCTCATGCCCATGTGTATCAGATTACAATAACACCATGAGTACATTTGCTGCGCAAGGAAATGCTTAAGCCGGTGTTTAGTCGATCTTCGGAACATTGCCGGATATTATTATCGTACATGTTATACGCCAAAACATATCCGGTAAAGTTCCGAAGATCGACTAAACACACCGGTTTAAGCATTCCCTTGCTCAGCAAATGTACTCATGGTGTTATTCTAATTGTTGATGAAATAAAGTGGACACTCTTAATGTGAATAAAAGTACAGGGTGTCCCGTAAGCACATGATCAAAAGAATACTGCGATATTCCTTGCACCAAAAGAAGACGATCTGACCTAACTTTTATTAACAAAAACTGTCCGGCTACTCTGCTTGATTGATGGTCAAAGCAGAGACAAGGGATAACATCAAACTATAGACCAATATCGGTAATTAGTAATTTGGCTAAAATACTAGAAAATATTGTTTGTGTTGATAGCAATATTTCTTTGACAAAAATAATTTACTTGCGAATATCAATACAGTTTTATAAAAAAGAAGGGTACCAAAGGAGCCTTGAGCCGTATAAGGAATTTACTGCACCATAAACTTGATTGATTGAACTGAAAAAGTAAACCAATACATATCACCTTTCTAGATTTAGCAAAAGCGTTTGTTACTGTTGACCATAAAATATTATTAGATAAAATGTATAACTACGGTATAAGAGGAAATGCACATAACATTATAATTAGTTACCTAAGTAACAGAAAACAAAACGTAAGAATAGGGTCAGCAGGGAGCAATTTTGAGTTTTCAACAAGTTTTCCCGTTCTTCCCGATTTCATCTTTTCATCTCTCTCAATTTCCCGGATGCCATTACAAAAATGGCGCCCGAGCAGGGACGTCTCTTCTGTTCTTCTTTAAAGTTTTAAAGTTATTTCTTGTCTCTGGTCAAAGTTCTTCAAAAAATTTTCTTTTTCGAAATATCGAGAGACTTACAGTTAATACTTTGTCCACAAATGATGAACACTTTCATTGTAATTTAAAGAATTTGAATGTGAAATTTCATTTTCAGAACTCGTACATATGTATAGATTCTCCCTGTTTTGTGCAAAATATGAAAAAACTTCCACAAGTACCGATTCTCGGAAAAACAATTTTCAAAATGTTTGTCAAAGTTGACGAAAATGCCGTTTGTCAAAGTTGACGCCTTTCAATACTTATCACATACCTTACCTACTTAAAGATTAGGTAAAGTTAAGTAACTAATTTTGGTATTTTTTTCAAGATGATGTAACAGAGGAGCACTTAAGGTTTATTCTTGATTATAAATGGGTTTGACGTTGATATGGACTTTCGTTTAGGAATTGGCAATCATGAATACCTAGATACTTAAATAAGTTCTAGGTGCACTCGAAGTGTTTAAAAAGTAGATTTTTTCGCTAACTCTTTACTTTTTTCACAAGACGATCTTAAAAAATCAACTTTTCGATCATTTGATTTGGCCGAATTCGAAGAAATTAGATAGTTGGGATTACAGAAGCCATACTGTACGTGCTTTTGGGAAACAGACTTTCAAAAGTGTTTTATAGACAAATGTATGGACGATCCAAGATTTTTTGCTTTTGAAACAACCGAACACTTATCTCCAGGGGTTCCTCAAACGACAAGTTTAGGGCCAATTTGAAGTAACATGAAGTAAATGGTGAATTTGAGTGAAAAGTTGTCAATAACTGCATTTTCAAAAGAAACGCTACTAAGAAAACTTGTTAGTAAAGAGATTATCTATAAGATGAGCATGTGCCCACTTAAGTTCGCACCAAATGGAAAACGTTTTTATTTAAATAGTAATTAAAAGTAATTCGCCATAAAAGTTCTGCTTGGTCCAAAACCTAAAATGCAATCAACAGATTTTTTTCAATCGCATACGAGGTAGGTAGATATACCTATCAGAAAATATGAATTTTGCTCAGGAATAAAGAATAACGAACCTTTATTTGTTACAACGAAAATTTGTTATTAAGAAAAGTTGATGGTTCTTGGTTCTCATGTACTTTATGTCTGTCAGAGTTTCGCGTTCTTTTTAATTTTCTCATAAGGTACAATAAAAAATAAGCAGTTTGAGTGAAAAAAAAGCGAATCGTCCATAAACTTGCAGAAAAAAAACACTTTCAAACTTTTAAAAATCTTGTTCAAACGACACGGTATTTATCATTGAAAATGAAATTGCCCAGTGCCGTGTACTGTTAAATATTGGGTGATCGTGTCGTTCGAGCCCCTCCGAATTTTCAGGTTTTTCTTTGAATAAAACTTTAATTTAAGGGTTTCAGCAAAAAATCCTGGATGGTCAAAAATTTGCTTTTCCAAAACCACTTATTTATGCACGAAAATGAGATCGTCCGGTGCTATTGATTGTATTGGAAATACCACGTAAATGTTATCAGTCCTCTTTATCAGCAAAAAGGAGAAAAGCCTAATCTATGTTTATATTCAGAGAATTCGACTCGTAATTTTGAGTCGCTGATCTAAGCATAAAAGCTCAACCGAATTATATATATAAATATATAAATAATC